TTTTTTATATTTTTAATAAAAAATAACAACTAATTTAAAATAAATTTTAAGTAAAAAATACTTATTTAAAAGTAGAGATCGTAACATTTTATTTAAATAAATAAATCAGGGAAAAAAAAAAGCAAAAAAGTAAATAATTTTGTTACCTCTAGTATATTTTTTAAGTTTTTTTTTTTTTTACTCAGTACTACAAAAGTGAAAGAAATTACGTTGAAATTAAGTGGCCATTTACAAGATCATACATTTTCAATCAAATTAATTGTAGGTAAACTCATAGACTCACTTTATAATAACTTAAGGAAGATGATTTTGTGACCATTTTTTTGTATAATTTTTTGATATAACCTGACGTGTTATTTAAATTATTAGTTCTTTTTATTCATGTGAAACTTATGATTTTGAATGCATTCACTTATTTAATAATATGTAAAAATTATATCAAAATGTAGTATAAAAAAGTTATTTCTATAGCACTATCCATAACTTAAATAGTAAGAGAACGTTCGACTACTTGTAAACAAAGTGTGAGAAGTCGCGCGAAGTCGTGAATAATCTTTAAGTTATTTATTTATATAATCTATTGAGATCCCAAACTTATTCTTCTCAAAACAACGACATCTAGGGTGGATGTAGTTCTTGAGAGAAAATTTCTTATCAAGAACATGACTTCATTTTGATTGGATCGTTGTCTCTACGGTGTTGATTTGGTGTCCAACAGTGCAATCTTCAGGCTACGGAACAAACGAAAGGTATGGATTTGATTTTTTTTTTTTTTTTACAATGACTTAGGTTTTCCTTTTTTCAAAAATGGCATGCAATAAGGAATTAGAGAAACATGTTGGTGGAATCGAACTAATAGGAGGTGAAGGATGAAATCAAACAATTCTGTGGTTTGACACTATAGAAGAAATTGATTAATTCCATTAGCTCATTTCATGTTGAGAAAGTTTGATTGATTCTTTTTATTGAGTTGTTTTTTTTATCAAATAAAGTGATTAATTCTATTTTAGATCTAAAATTTTTTTGAAGATTAATTCTATTTTAGATTTAAAATTTTTTTGAAGGAGGATTTTGAAGATTTAATGGATTTTAAAACATCATAATATCTTAATTTTAAAGGATTAAATGCTTGATTATTTTTTATCGAGAAGATGACTTCATTTTGATTGGATCATCGTCTGTACGGTACTGATTTGGTGTCCAACAGTGCAATCTTCAGGCTACGGAAGAAACAAAAGGTATGGAGTTGATTTCTTTCTTTTTTACAATGACTTAGGTTTTCCTTTTTCAAAAAATGGCATGCAATAAGGAATTAGAGAAATATGTTGGTGGAATCGGACTAATAGGAGGTAACGGAGGAAATCAAACAATTCTGTGGTTTGACACAATAGAAGAAATTGATTAATTCCATTAATTCATTTCATGTTGAGAAAATTTGATTGATTCTTTTTATTGAGTTTTTTTTTTATTAAATAATTGATTCTATTTTAAATCTAAAATTTTTTTAAAAATTGATTCTATTTTAGATCTAAAATTTTTTTGAAGGAGGATTTTGAAGATTTAATAAATTTTAAAACACCGTAATCTCTTAATTTTAAAGGATTAAATGTTTGATTACTGAATCATATTATGAATGGGTGCATTTTTTTAAAATAAAATTAGTGCCTAATTTTTAGAATTTTCTCAGAATTTAGAGTTCTGTATTTGTATTTTTTTTAGCCAGGCACGTTTAATAGAACTCTCACAATCTCTTGCTATATCAGAGCACACTGTA